TGTGTTATTCCTGTCAATGATTTCCCTGTTCATTCATTTGCTTTGGCTGCTCACGACTCACGCACACAAGCACGTTGACTCTCACTCGTGCATGTGTTGGCAGGCCCACGTGCGTTGAGCTCAAACATCACGCTTCCCCCGCTTGTCCCCATGCCAGGTACCGGTCTGAGCGGTAGGAGCCTGCCTGCCGCATGGAGGCACAGGAGTGCGCGTTCGGATCGCTTGCGGAGAGTATCGGATATCGGGATTCTCACAGGGCGCTTTTCCACTGGTCTTCTGAGCTGCCTCAATTACTCTTTTTAGGCGCCTCAACAATCAGATCTTGGCACTTTTGAGCTGCCACCTCTGGGCTGAGATGAGAGCAGAAGGGCAGTGCTTGTTGTTTGCTCCAAGAGAGCACATACTACCTGAATCTGGAACGGGTCAGAACCAGAAGTGCCTTGCACCCACCTTTTTTTGGTTGGAGTTGGAATTTGGAGTGGAGATTACGGGTTTTTGTGGGAAAAGAGGGTGTTTGTCATGAAAAGACTGATGTGTTGTTTGTTGTTTTAGTAATGCCATGATAACTTTACCGTGATTTGAATCTATGCGGCTACTCCTCATCAGGAGTGCACATTTGCAAGATAGATTCTAAAAACTGAATCCTGTTTTTGCAGGCTGAAGAGTTGGTGAGCTGAGCTGCATCCCAGATGGAATTCTTCTCTTATGAACATACCTATTCCAATCCAATTCTCTAGCACCTATTGTCCACAGAACCAACCTTACTCTAATGCCGTCCTTTCACCTCCCCACTTTGCTGCAGCCGCTGTTGCCCCTCTCCCCAACCTGCTGCTCCTGCTGCATGCTCTGGTTGCTGCATCGTCCCCTCCTCATTCGCCCCTTCCTTCCTCCTCTCCACTTCCTTCCTCTGCACCTCTCTCAACTTCTCCCTGTCTTCCGCCCTCTGCCCCCCCCCTCCTCCTCGCCTCCCCCTCCTCACACTCCACCGTTCATTCTCAAGCACAAGATACTCCCCTGACGGTGCCAGCAGCCGCCACTGCCGTGCTACAGTAGCAGCCTCTACAGTAACGGTGCAATTCGGCTTCATGCGGTCGTGCACTTCCACTGCCATCACCCGCACCTCATCCAACCACGGCCTAGGGTCGTACCAATCATATTCCCTGCTGATTTCAGCTGTGCTACTGGTCCTGCTGCTGCTGCTGCTACTGCCTCCGCTGCCGCCGCCGTCGCCACCGTTGCTGCTGCTGCTGCTGCTATTGTCACTGCCATTGCTGCTGCTGGATTCCCCAGAGGCAGTGGAATCTGCATTCGATTTAGTCACATCGGCGCCTGCAGCCAATGGGGGCACGGCCAGCACTTCAGCCTCGGACCCCTCAATATCCATCTTCACAAATCGAATCTCGCTAACCCAACCTGCTTTAGCACATCGCCTACAGTCACACCACGGATAGTCACGCCCCCCTCAGCTGCCCCTGTGGTTGCCACTCTGCTGCTGTTGCTGCTGTTCGCTTCACCCTCTACCCCCTCCTGAACATCCTCGTTAGTATCACCTTCGTTTGTGTCACCGCTGCTATTAGAGGGCACCGGCGTAACCACAATACTGCCACCCCTCCCTCGTCTTCGTTTGTGTCCCATTCCTTAGCAGCACCATTCCAGAGTGATTAAACAGCCCCGCATGCACCGCATAAACGTTGCGCAGGCGATACGTGTTACGCCGTAACACCTCGTAGTTCTTGTCACTCGCCTCTATGGGCGACCACAGTAGCGTTGGGGAAGAAAGTGGAGAATATGAGCGTCGCATACCCCACGTTGGCTCCTGGGAACGAGGAGAGCAATAAACCAGGAAAAGAGGGTGACGGTTCTGAGCGAAAGGCTATTCTCAAAGGCAAGGAGAACAATTAGCAGTCGACGAACGTCACGTGTGGCTTCACCGGAGCATTAGGCGGGCGGGACAGTATGTGCGGGGAAAAGCCATGGATGAGCTTGAACACGCAAAACGGTAAATTGGTACCCTCGCCACCAGCGCCATTAGCGCCACTTGCCCAATTCCCAACACCCGCCCTATTCCCGCCAAACGCGCTTACCTGCATCCAGGACAGTTCGCGGCCGGAAGTGCTTGAATGAACCCGAATTCGTCCATCTCGACAAGCTGCTTCAGCACGCTGAATCCGAGTAGTACGGCCGCAGATGCACCGTCAGCACGCACGGCGCGTGCAGGCACGGCACCTGGCCGTGCCACCGCCGCCAATCGCGCACTTACGACGGCGTCGCGTGGTAACCGTTTTCTCGCACGACCTCCAAGGGCGAGGTAGAGCCTGCCGGTTCGTCTGCCACCGCCCCGCGTACCAGTAACCGCGGCTCGTCTGGCGCGGAACGCGGAGCGACGGGGGCGATATAGCAGGCGCATTGGTAGTGGGGGGGGGGGGGGGGGGGGGGGTCCGAACCAAGGGGAGGAGAGGGGCGAAAGAAGGGATGCGGGGAGGTAGGGGGAAGGAGGAAGGGGAAGGAGGGTAAGGGAGAGAAGATGTGGGGGAGAGAGATAGAGCTGGGACTTAGCCATGAGGCGGGAGTTACGAGCATGGCGGATCGATTTGGCGAAGAAAAAGGAGCGGAAAGGGATCGGGGAAAGAGGAGGCGTCAGTGCCTCTTACCTCGCCGCCACCCATGCGCTTCCGCCATGACACTTCTCAGCTCCATCGGACCACACTGGACCCCATTGAAGCCCTTTGAACCCACGTTGAGAGATCTCAAATTGATACAAGCGCGTCAGTGCATCTTACCTCGCCGCCACCCATGCTCTTCCGCCATGACACTTCTCAACTCCATTGGACCGCTTCAGACCCACTTCAAGAATTCCCAAATTGACACAAGCGCGTCAGTGCCTCTCACCTCGCCGCCACCCGTGCGCTTGCGCCATTATGCTTCTCAACTCCATCGGACCCATCCCGCACACGTCGCCCACAACTCGAATCCTCGCCATCTCCGCATCCGATATAGTCGCAACGTCGACACCCGCGAGGGAGTTGAGCTGGCGCACCAGTCCCGTCGCTATAAGCGCGAGCGCGAAGAAGGAGAGCAGCGGGAGGCTGTTCGCGGCCCACGCCCACGACCGCCATGGCTTGCCGCCGAAGAGGGAAAAGGACGAGGAAGGGGTGGAGTAAGGGGAGGTCGGAGGTCGCGGCGAGAATCCAGCCGAAAGGGGTCTAACGGGGGCTGAAAGGCTTCTGGTCGGCGTGCCGTGTGTCGATTTTACGGGCGTGGTGGAGCCTTCCATGATGTGCTAAGCCGAAAGGGAGGATTTTTTTTTTTTTTTTTTTTTTTTTTGTTCCAGTGGAATGTACAGCTATTGCAGCGTTTAGCGCGTCTAGTCTCACAGCAGATGTGGATCTGGGGAAGCGACTAAATTGGCAGGCTGTGCGAATGGGAGTGTCTATATTCGTTGGATTGACTTTGGCGGAATGGACGACCTGAAGTGTCGCCCGGCGCAACCTAAACGGCAAGCGAGCGCCTTGCAGGATAAACAGACGATCACGCGGGCTACTCTGTGGTCGACAAACTCTGTAAGATCGCTTGTAAGATGCCCCAGTGAGGTTTGGTATTTATCCTAAACGAAAACATTTCCATCAGGTTCGGCACAGAGGTTGGGTGACGGATGTTTCGCAACATTCACCGCAAGGCTTCATTCTCTGCGGTCTACTCTCTAGGTATGAAGGTTAGGGACAAGAACAGAAGCAAGAACCTGAACAAGAAGACAGCGCCGACTGTGGCGTGGATTCAGCAATAACAGTTACAACACGAAAGAGACTCTGGTTCCGAATCCGCCGACATAGCTGCGTGAAACTAGTGGTAGAGCAAGGGAGGGTTGAAGGGGGAGGGGGAAAAATGCACCTTCTCTTTCTGAGTGAATTTTGAGAACAACAAATGTTCCTGCGACCAGCAGGAGAATGCGACGCGAACGCTTTGTGCGGTGCGGGTCAGACTTCCTCGCAGTCAGCGCCTATTGGTTTGGGAAAATTGAGCGCCATGTCTGCTGGCCTGACCTCGTTTGAAGAGTTTCGGATTTCACGCTGGTTGGCCAGCGGGAAACTCGGGGATCAGGTGGTTCAGGCGGTGGTGTGACTGTATGAGGTTGTCTGGCGTTGACAGCTCTGGTCTGGTTGGCTGCGAGTACTGTACATGTTGTCAGAGTGCTGCCTGCCATACGCCTCGACCAGAAGGGTTGCACTACCGACCGAAGTATTCTTCGTGTGGTCCTCTGGTTACTCAGCAACAGAAGATCGCACCTAGTCGTCGAGTTACCATGTCCGTCGAAGCAATATTTGACTCCGCTAAGACAACTGCGAAGTCTTCGAGCTTGCCAGGGACGACCCATAAAAATTTTGACATTTGGCAAATACATTGAAGCGAAAGCTCTGTGATTGGATGAAACGGCGTCTGTATGCGCTGGCACATCTTTCTGGATTACCCAGGCCCCTTTTCCTTCTTTGCACCTTCTCCAAATCCACACTCCAGCGGTTAGCCCCTCGTTTGCATTCACAACACAAACCTCCATTCACAACCCTGATATTCAGCCAGGGGACATTCAAATTCAGTCTCACGCTGATTTTAGGCTCTTGGTAGTCCCGAGAGAAAGGGAGGCAGAGGAATCGTATTCCACGTTTTACTCCTGGCGTTTGGCTTCGGTGGTGCTTGTCGAATCAAACGAGTTTCTGAGCCATGTCTTCCAGCACGCTAAGTGGCGTTCGGTTGATGCGAGTCGTCGAAAACCATGGCCCTTCGAAACCATCAGGTCGGCACCATTGGTCCCATCTCATGATCGCGTGAAGATTCGTTCATGTTTCATTCATCCCGTCGCCCACGCTTTCATGCTCAGTCATGCTCGGTCTTGACTGCACGGATTTCATAATGCCATGTCAATTCTCACAATGGTGCCTCCAGTTTGATTCACTTCGCTCTTCTGTTTCTTTTCCTGTTACCAGCATTCATGACCATCAGAAGCAATGGCGCAGTCAACTTGGTCCCTCTGCGTCTCCACACAGTTTCTAGCGCCTGTGCCACGTCATCTGCGTCACTGAAAACGAGACGATTTTGGTGCAGGTCTGTCACGGCGTCAGCAGGATCAGTGTCGCAGGAAGAGCAGCAGAGTGGTGCCTCGGATCAGCCTCCCCTGGTGGTGGCGACGCGCGAGAAAGGCAAAAACGGCAAGCTGATGAAGGCACTGGTGAGTGTTGACATTCTGTGATTCCACGTTCAAAACACAATGGCACGGTGATGAGAACGGCTTTTTCAAGACTCCAGATGCAGGGAAATGCGTTGAATCCCATTTGCACTTTTACAAATTATCGCGAATTGACGTCCTGCAACATGACGTGAGCGCTCCAGTATCGGAGTCTGCAGATGCAGCACTCAAACAGGTCCAAGTGTGTACGCTAGTAATTTTTAAAACCCGGCCTCTCCCTGTGCTTATCTACCCAGAGTGCGAGGGGAGTGTCAGTGATGGAGCTGCCGCTCATCCAGCACTCAGACGGGCCCGACACCCACCGCCTGCCAGCCGTGCTTCAAGGTCAGTTCTCACCGCTTCCTCGCATCCTTGTTCTAGTTAGCTTCTTCTTTCCCTATCGGCCCTCCCGTCCCCCTCGTTTTCCCTGTTCTTTTTTTTCGTCCTGCTTCCTTGCTGCCCCGTCTGAACCCTGGGTGCTTCCTCAGCGGTTTCTTGTCCTGTTTCGGTTTCTTCTGTCTCATGTTTCTTGCATGCAGAAGAGGAGTTTGAGTGGATTGTGATAACCTCGCCAGAAGCTGCTTCAGTATTCCTTACTGGCTGGAGGTAAGGTCCACCACACGCTGGCATTTTCTTTGCCTGCTTTCACACCTTGCATATGCATCGTGCATTGATTTCAGCAAGCTCCTCGCATCACCCTTGACTCCCGCTCCCTGATTCCACTGACTCGACACCTCCTGTCATAATCCCACCCACACCCCGTGCCATTTCTTCCAATATGACGCGCATCAACGTCAGAGCCGCAGGTCGCCGGCGCTGAGGCTGGCAGTGGTGGGGGCGGCACAGCGGAGGTGTTCCACCAGCTGGGCGAGCCCGAGAAGCACCTCCTGCCCGTCCAGTTCGTTCCCTCCATAGGTACCTTTTCCTTCCCTTGAACAGTAGTGATAGGCGCCGGCACAACCGGAGTGCTTCTGGTCTTCCACCAGCTGGACGAGCCGGAGAAGCACCTCCTGCCCGTCCAGTTCGTTCCTTCCACAGGTAACCTTTCTCTTCCCCTTGAAAAGTAGTGCTGGGTGCTTGCACAGGCGACTGCGTTTGGTGCAACTGTATACCCTCTCCTCAATCCTCCCCTCTCCTCCCCCTCCACCCGCCCTGCTTCCCCAGCGACGGCCAAATATCTGTCGGCTGAGATTTCGAAGACTTAAGGCGGCAACCGCCGGGTGCTTCTGGTGCAACCTTGTGTGCTCTCCTCATTTCCACTCTCTCCTCCTCTCTCCTCGCTCTCCGCCCTCCCTGCGTCCCCAGCCACGGCCAAGTATCTGTCGGCTGAAATCCCGGAGATTGAAGGCGGCAACCGCCGGGTGCTGTACCCCGCCTCGGCCAAGGCCAGCACGGATCTCCGTGGGTGCTCTAGACCAGGATGCATGTCAAATATGTCTGGAATATGTTGGCTAGGGGGAGATGAAGGTTGGGGAAGTGGGGGTAGGGGTGGGGAGAAGAGGGACGTATTTTCTCCTTGCTTTGGGTTGATGGTCTATAACAGGCAATTGTTTTTTTTGTCAGTGCTTCCAACATTTCTGCACTTGCGTGTGTGTGTGACTGCAGAGAATGGGCTGGCAAGCAGGGGCTTCCAAGTCACACGGCTCAACACATACTCCACGGTATGCTGCATGGCTCAACACATACTCCACGGTATGCTGCATGGCGCTCACCTCGTTCTGTTACGGCGAAACACGTACCTCTGTCAGCTAACACGGTTGCGTTCCTTCTCTGGAGCTGCTTGTATCATTCACATACTTTCCCACTCCTCGCCTTCATCCTTCTCTACAGCGGTCTCACAGAACCCCCTTCTCTTGTCGGCTCTCTTCCACACCTTGATCATCTCCTTCCTCCATGGCTTAATACGTGTGTCTGTGTGTATGCGTGTATGTGTGCGCCACATTGTGCGTGCATGTGGGCATCAGGAGTCGGTGACGAGTGTGGACGAGGACACCATACAGAGAGCCGCCAGGGCTCCTGTCGTTGCTGTGGCTTCTCCCACTGCTGTCAGGTGAGCAACAGCAGACTCTTCAGACTCAAGCATGGACCGTCTTCAATCTCCCCTTTTCACGCTTCCCATCTCCCTAGCCCCTCAACCTTCCTCCCACCACTTCCTTCTCCTCTGGCTTCCCTTCCCGCCTCGCCCCATGCCCATGCGCCCCAGGGCATGGATGGAGTGGTGGCGTCCCCGCACGCAGTGGGACAGAGCCTACTTTTGAGACGTAACCTCTCCCCTGTCTTTTGCCTGCCTCGCACCTCGCCCCGCGCCCCAGGGCATGGATGGAGGTGGTGGCGTCTCGCACGCAGTGGGATGGAGCTGCAGCGTGCATAGGGGGAACTTCAGCCGAAGCTGCGAGAAAAGCAGGAATCAGAAGGTGTTTGCCCCAGATAGCCCTGGAATTGAAAGGTAAGCTTGTTCAGGACCATGCACTACTCACTCGCTACAATAACCTCCCCTGCTATATCAACTGTCTCCAAAAAATTTGCATGCTCCTCGGCTGGCTTTTCTGTGCCCCTTCATCTCCCTCCGTTTCCCTGTGCAGCTGGGTGGCCAGTGTTATGGAAGCACTGGAAGCAGCACCTGCTGAAGCACAAGCGTAGAAAACCAATTTTGTATTGTAAGCAAGATGTACTAGAAATCACCGTATGAAATTGATAATACGATCTTGTTTGGTGTGTCATGGGTCTTCCAACAACCATTATAAGTTATGGTTTCGGAAAGGGATTCTAAAGCGCTGGGAGTGAGCTTGTGACGAGCTGTTCTGTGCGGAAATGGTCGCCGAAACTTCGTGTCGCGAACACG